TGTGAGATGATTTTCGGTTTGAGGTTGTTTTATGGTTGTGGGAAGGAGAAATGATGTTCAGCCACTGATGTTGTTACCAACTCAACAATAAGAGCATCTTATGTTTCATGGTCAAGGGAGCTCATGAAGGTCAATCTTTTTCTCGTTTCCTTGGTGTTCTGGCTTTTCACTCCCCTCTCTTTTTTTACAACATTCCTCTGCCTCTTTCTCTCGAAGGCTTGCCATCAGGGATCAAAATGACAATAGTTTAAGATTATGAAGACAGAAAAGGCAATAGAATACTTACAGAGCTGGAGCGAATCCGGCAGGTTCTCGCGCTTATGATGAGGAGCTTGGATGATGCAAAGCTTCTTGTTGAACCGATACCACCAGATTGTCAATGCTGAAAGCAGATAAGCTCCTTCTTCAATCTCTCTTTTTTGTTCTTTATGTGTGTCTTGTGTTATGATGAAGGTGAGTTGTGAGAGAAGGCAGCTGCTGACTCTTCTTAGGGTTTTTTTTCTGAATGAATAGTAACCAATATATATGGGGGCTTGATGATGTGAGATTAGGGTTTAGCTTATGTTTGTATCATCTCTGCTATCACTTTCTGATGTCAAAATTATGTCTTTCCATTTTAGTAAATCTGGCTCTGCTGTCCTGTTTTCTTGTCTCTGAAATTTTGTTTGTTTATGCTGACTGTATCTTCTGCTATTTTGTTGGCTCCCTTTCCTTTTTTTTTTGCTGATTTTATTGTTATTCTCTCTACTTTTTCATCCCTTCTTCAACCAGCTTCTGCAGTTGTCGACCACCATTCTGATCCTTTGCTGTATGAATCATGTAACTCTGTTGTTGCTCTTTGAATATTCCACTAGCACTTGAGTCTTCATTTTTCTCTTCTGCTTCTTTTTTGCTCTTGCTTCTGCCTTTCTCTGTTTTTGCCTCAGTTTCTTTTTCTGAGCAGGAAGCAACTTAGACATTTCACTATCCTCCTCATCAGTTGACTTTGGAGGAGAGTCGTGCAATTTTATATAACATCTGATAGCTCCAGCAGCCGCTTTACGAAAATATGCATGTGAATGCAATCTGTCTTGAAATTGAAGCATCTCCACATACGTACGCAATGTCATTTTCCTTAAGCAGTATGAATGAAAATCAAATTGGTCTTCAGTAATATCTGCATAATGCTTCTCCACTGCTAAGAATTTTTTTGAGAGACAGTCCAAGATCCCCTTGGCGGAAGTAGCTTTCAGCAGAGGCAAGCTCGTGCCACATGCACTGCATGTCATGGAGGTTGTTGTGTTGATCCCCATCTTTTGTGAATAGCACGGCAGTTTTTTTTTGCCAAAACCATCTGATCAGCCTGCAGCATGCGCTTCACACAATCACTATTAACATAACGATCGTCGAGATCCATACACCTAGCTTCATCTGCCAATGCAGCAGCAGCAGCCAAATCACCAGCATGCTTCAGTATCCGACTCTTTGCAGAGTATAGATCAATGACAGTAGGTGTATGTTCTATAGCCTCATTAATTTTAGAAAGTGCGATTTCATATTGACCCTGCCTGTCATAATGCTGAGCCAACAAGAACAAAGTCCACATAAAAGTTGATGGTGGCTCTTTTTCCACTCTCCCAGGGTATTGTCCAGTCAGCCTAATAGAATTCTCTAACTCAAGAATAAGTTGTTCCAAAATGTCTGCCTTCCCAGGGTGACTGTATAATGAAGAAAGATCCGAGAATAAAGATGGATCTCCCTTAGTTAGAAGAGGTCTAATATAACTATCTGCTGCTTCTCGAAACCTATCACCTTGAAGAAAATCTAGTGGTATTCTCTTAACAGCAGATGACCACTTAAATTGCTGCCCAAGTGTTTTGTACAAGGCATCTAGCCGATCTATTTCATCAGGAGAAAAATGGCCATTTGCTGAATATAATCCTACACATTGTTGAAGGCCTTCATAATATCTATAATTGTCCGGATTCATGGAAAGCAGTGTCTGGTACAATTTCTCGGCTTCTTCTAAGCGACCAAGCTTGACTAACAGTGAAACCTCTTGTTCTTTATATCCAAGCTTATCAATAATTTTTGACTTCTTTTTTCACATAGCAGGTGTGTTGTTATCTTTTATTGCAGGTTGTGAGAGTGAAGTTAGCTGGACCTAAGGTGAAGAGTGTAGCAGGGACGGTTTGTGCAGAGTATTGTCTGGTGGTGTAGGTTGTAGCAGCTGGTTTACAGTTTTGCCAAAGTGATTTATGTTGCGGTTGATTTTTACGGGTGAGGCGTGGTGATAGCCTGGACGTAATAATACAAGCTTGTCCTTTTTTGCAGGGTATGTTGTGATGCGGTATGCGATGTGAAGGCATGTGCTGAAGGTGACAAGGAGGTAGCCTTGTGTTCATTGAGGTGAAGTTGAAGACAGATGATAGTTTTTGAATCGTACGCGGGCTATGGTGGCTTTCGGTACGCGCGGTACGGTGTTGGGAAGCTGTCATTTCTCTTCACTTTCTGGCAAGTTCTGATTTCTTTTGATTTTTTTCTGGCTGAATTAATTTTACGCATCTATCTCTTGTTTTGCAGGTGATGGCTGGCGGTACGGTTATGTAGAGCTTGCCTGGTTTGCTTTGGTGCAGCAGGCTGGTGTGTTGTAGGTGTTTCAGAGCTTGTTTGTTGTTTCCGGCTGTTCTTCGTAGATATTTTCATTGAGCTTTGGAGTTTCTTTGTGCCTGTTGGCACTGTGGAGAGTAGCCGGTGCTTTCTGTGTTTCGTCCAGCAGCAGTTAGCTCAAGATGGGTGGATGTCTGGGAACATGATATAGACAGAGATGGGAAGCTTGTTAAAGATGGTGACCTGTATTTGTCAGAGTTTTAAAACTTCTACCTATAATTGGGAAACTCCGTCCATCTTGGCGTTATTATGCCAGGAATCAAGCGGAATCCTTTGTCTCACAGGCTCAAGTTTACACAGATGGGCGCCTTATTTTGACTGCGATGTTCGAGTTTGCGAATTTTTTTTAATTTTATGCTGCTATTTTTTTCTGAGTTTTTCTAAACAAAGAACAGTCCTATTTCATCCTTCATTCGGTGAAGATTTGCACTCCAGTTCGGTGGCAGGGGTTAGAGTTGTGGTTTCCTTATCATTTGAGTGCGACTTGGGGTTTGATGGTAAGCGGAGAGTGCTCATGAAATCAAAATATGAGTTGATGCTGGGCTAAATTCAGGCTGGACATTGAGTTTGAGCATGGGCAGTGCAGGTAATAGGGTTTCAAGTCTGCAGCAACTGAAGTTTTGTCTTATTGTTTTTTTTTTCGCAGACATGCTTTAGAGACTTATCAAACTTTGTTGACGGTGGTGCGGTTATTTGCAAAGAATGATGAAGAGTATTTGGCGCTGGCCGTTGTGGTATACCGCAGGTGCGTTTTTCTCACAGCTGCACAATGACTTTTTTTGTGTGTAGGTTTTGTGAATGTTTTCTCTTGGAAATTGGTAATGGTCATACAAGTCGTACAAGTTGAATGCTCAGGTTTTTTTCAAAGGGAACATGTTGAACAGATTGGAGAATGGTACTATCAACAAATTTTATGCAGCTGCTCGTATGCTCTTCCGCTGCGGCGCCCAAGCGCGTGAGGTCAGAATGAAAATTCGGTGAAGAAGCATTGTGTATCATATTATGTAGTTTCAATTATTTCTCCTTGTTCAAGCTCAAGACATAGACTTTTCTTTTTCTTCAATATTTGATGCAAATTACTGTAAATCTGGATTAATTATATTGTAATGTATGTTGTATGAATTTGGCAAGATGTATTTCGTTTTGCATTGCGTTTTTGTTTCAAAACCCCATGCTGCTTGTTATGTACGCGGGTTACCCTTTTTACCGCCCCTTTACATTAGAATCATGGTCTGTTTGTGCTGTGTATGTATTAAAAATGGTGAAGTGTTGCGAAGAAACGGTAGATTCAATTTTAGACTTGAATCGCCTTTGCCACGTGTCCAGTCATTATGCATGTCATGAATTTCCCAAGATCAAATACATCCAAGCAAGAACCAACACTCTCATGACTTGGAATTAAGGACCACATCTTTAAAAAAAATCTTTGGACCTATGTCTAATATTAGAACTGCTTTGAGCTTATCGACACCAATCCATAGCCAGCATGGTTCCCACCAATCCTACTTTAGCCATGAATGAAGCATGAAAATCATTTTGAAGTGCTTATTCTAAATTGATTCTCAAACACACATCAATTGGACCGATACTCTCTTTAACGTTGTGCTTGCACAAATCTCTGTCTTACTGACAAATTAACTCATAACCATTAAAACTCAATCCAATACCCCATACGGGACTTCATGCCTTTGTCTATCAGACCCAATTCAAATTGATCTTATGATATTCAAACGGCAACCACATATTTTCTGATTTTCTGGAAACCAATTGGTGGATGAATATACAGATGAAAGTAATATGCAGGTGGGCAAATTTTAGGGTGCAACAATTATGAGTATTTTAGTGATGTTATTTCTCTTGATTCAACATATTGCACAAATAGTTCACATAGACCACTAGCACTATTCTCGGGATTTAACCATCATCGAAAAGTTGTGACTTTTGGGGATGCTTTATTATATGACGAAACAATTGATTCATACAAGTGGCTTTTTGAGACCTTTTTAGAGGCTCATAAGCAAAAAATGTCACAAACAATATTTACTGATCAAGACCATGCAATAGCAAGAGCATTGATTGAGATTATGCCTAAAGCTTATCATGGCTTATGTACGTGGCACTTAATGCAAAATTTCATCAAACACTTAGGAAATTTGATGGAAGGCGAATCTCATTTTCTAAGAGATTTTAAGAAGTGTATGTATGAATATAAAAATGAAGACCAATTTGAAGAAGGTTGGAGAAACCTTCTAGTAACCTATGATGTTAAAGAAAACACTTGGTTGCAAAGAGTGTACACTTTAAAGGAGAAGTGGGCATCATGTTACATGAAGAAAGTTTTCACATTAGGAATGAGAAGCACTCAACTTAGTGAAAGTGTGAATGCGGGTATTAAAGGATTTATGAATGTGAACTTTGATATAATCAAATTTTTTAAGCGCTTTGAGGATTTTGTAGAAGAAAAGCGATATAATGAATTAAAGTGTGAATATGAAGCGCGACAAAAGATTCCAAGACTAAGGAACTCATATTCAAAAATCTTGCAACAAGTGTCTGAGCTTTATACTCCTAGTATTTTTTATCAATTCCAGCATGAGTATGAGTTGTTTGAAAATTGCTCTGTGAAAAACATTGATATGCAACCACCTTTAACTGATTGTGTTATTGCCATGGAGAGTAATTTCAGCGAGTGGCGAGTGTCACTTGATTTGGATAAGAATTCAATTTGTTGCTCTTGTCGTAAGCTTGAGAGTTTTGGCATACTTTGTTGTCATTGTTTGAGAGTTTTTATTCATATGGATGTCAAATCAGTTCCAAAACATTATATCCTAAAAAGGTGGACAAAGTTAGCTAGAAGTGAGACTTCACGTAATATTGATGTTAGCTATGTGGAAGAAGATGTTGATTTATCCCCAGCCCAACGCTACAAAGAGATTTGTCCTCGCCTTATTAAGATAGCCGCTGAAGCATGTAAAAGTCCATAAGCATTCAAATTCTTTCGCTAAATCACTAATGAGTTAGATAGGCACATGCTAGAGTTTTAAAAGAATTCAGTTAATATTTCTCAAGTGAATGAGTTTATTGACAAAGTTAAGGAGTCTACAAGCACTCGTGATGATTTGGCACAAGCAAAAGGATTCAAAAAAAGAGAAGGCAAAAAGATTTTAAAACATCCAAAAGGTTGGGTAGAATCTCAACCTCCCAAAAGAAAGAAAAATGTTGGCTCTAAAGCTTCACAAATTCAGGTATTCTTGAATTATTTCATTCAATTGATGTCTTTACTCAACTACTAAAATTAATATATTTCTATTATTCTATGTTGTGTAGAACAATAAAAGGTGTGATTCACAACTTAGAAGAAAAAGAAAAGATTATGACATAGGTGATTCACAAACACAAGTTCAATATGAGGTGTCCAATTCAAGTGCATCTATTTGGCTCAATAATTCATACAACATACCATCCATTGTAAGCTAATATCAGATTGAGTATGTGAACATACTAAGAAATATTTAAGAAATATTTAGTGATCGAATGATTTTATGTTTTGTGCAGAAAAATAATAACACTTTAACTTAATTCGGTGCCAACAGTTTTACTAAATTATTGATGGTAAATTTTAAAAATTATATAAATTCTACTATCTATTCAAGTTTTTTTTTGCGCCAATATTTAAGTTATTTTTTTAATTATTAACTTATGTCCTTTTAATTATAGGAAAATATTCATGGAGATGTTACAAAGTTAAATAGTCCATAAAGAAGTGAAGAAGACATATTTTCAACAGTGACCTGCTAATGTTTTCATCCAAGGGTTGTGTGGATGTGGTGGTTATTTTTGTTTTACAAGTTCTTCCTTGTATACAAATTCTAACTGCTTTTGTTATGTTGGAGATTTTAAATTTTGGTTTATGAATTGTGACTCAAGGTGGTTCAATCGAGGGGAGGAGAGGAGAGGGATTTTTATCAAGGGGATGTGAGGAGAGAAATTTTAAATATATATATATGTTTGGTTCAAAATATAAAAGGGGATGGGAGAAGAGATATTTTATTTACAAATATGTTTGGTTCAAAAAGGGAGGGGAGGTATTTTAAAACTAATTTACATTTTTATCCTTCTAATTTTATCATAAGACTCATAATATTTATCATTTATAATTCAAATACAAATTTATTGAAGAAATATAAAGTATTCAATCAGAGGGCATCTTGAAATTTTTTATAAATATTATAACGATTATAATATATAATTTTAAGAAGATTATCAAATATAATAAAGTCTAACAAAAATTATTATAAAAAAAATTACAATAATTAAAAAGTAACAATAAAATATAATAAATAAAATAAAAGGAATTAAACACATATTATAATAATAATAATAATAATAATAATAATAATAATAATAATAATAATAATAATAATAATAATAATAATAATAATAATAATAATAATAATAATATATAAAAATTATAAGAAATATAAGATGAAGATAAAATTTGTTCAAAATATAATATTTAACATTTTAATAAATTAAATTTATATTTAAATAAATAATAAAGATAAATATGTAAATATAATTATAATTAAAGTGAAACTCCTCCCTTCTCCTCCAAATTCGCTCAAATCAAGAGAAGTGTTCTGGCCTGGGCCCAGCCTCGCGGCCCAGCCCAATAACGCACAATGCCCAATGAGTAAAGTAGCCTGCCCGGGCACACTCCCCCCACCGGACGGGCAGGACATGCTCCCCACCAAGTAGGACGGCGCGCTTCTAAGCGTCCTCAGCACTCCCCTTAACCGGACAAAACAGCCTCCACGGGCAGAATCCCCCTGCCAACGGGCAGGACGATATGTCTCCCCCCGCTCTCGTATGCTCCCTTCCACGGGGAGAATCACACACCGTCGGGGAACCTCCTGAGCTCCCCTCCACGGGGAGAACAACGTGCTCTCGGGGATCCCACGAGCTTCCCTCCGTGGGGAGAATAACATGCCATGCACACGTTCTCCACGTGCTCCCCTCTGCGGGGACACGTCATCCCCCAACTGCCCACCTCCGAAAGAGCAGGTCAAACCCACTTTCCAGAGACCACAGGACAGTTGGACTAGGGCGAAGACCACGTCCTGGTCTTCACTACGCCACGTAAGCCCTAGCAGTCACCTGGGTTGGGCCTGGCCATCCAGCCCAACACAAGTGACCGCTGGCCCAGCGTTGAGGTCTCTCTATAAATACCATCTTCCTCAAGAGGGTCAGGTAATTCACTTCTTATCCATTTTTTGTACTTTGCCCTCACTCTGCCCAATTCCTTACTTTGGCATCAGAGTGTCTTGCAAGTACACCCCCCTTCTCCTCCTCATCACCGGTGAACAAGTAGCAGTCCAACAGCGTGTGGCCAGCCCGTGATCCCCTTCTGATCAGGTCAGATCAGTGGCGCCGTCTGTGGGAACAGAAACTTCCCCGTTACTCCGAGCAGAAAACCAAAGTTTCACCAACACTCCACGATCATGGCTAGCCCACACCACGACGATATCATGCACGACTTCGTACTCAACGCCGCCGCCAACGGCAGCAAGCAGATGGAGACGTCACGCCCAGTGGAGACCGACGAGAGAGACGGCCAGACTGCTTCTCCGTCGTCCGCAGAACCGATACGCCAGGCCGACCGCCGGCCCCCGAGCCCAACGGCGTTCCAACCCGTTCCCGTCCCGGCAGGAGCGGACCCAACGGTGGATGCTCTCTTTGCGGCCATCAACCAGACGAACCAGCTATTGTTTCAGCAGAATGCACGAATTGGAGCGCTGGAGCGGCGGGAAGACCAGAATGGGGGCTCGAGGAGTCCCTCGCCTCAACCCAGAAATCGACGACCTCGGCTGGAGAGGCCCCGAACAGAGGTAGTGCGGGAGCGCACCAGATTCCCGACGAGACAAGTTCGCGGGAGGCAGCAGAACACTTCAGCGATCCCGACCAGGAATCCGCGCGTCGAACCTTCGGTCAGGAGGCCGAGGCTCCGAAACCAGGTGCCTATCCTAAACGGCCCATCTCCTCCTCGGTCACTCGCTCTCAGCGACGAAGATGACTACCGGACTCCCTTGTCCCGGGAAATCACGGCCGCCCCCATTTCCCACGGGATGGAGAAGCCCCCGACGCTATCGACGTATGACGGCACATCCGACCCAGATGATCACCTGGAAGACATCGAGGCCATGCTCGATTACCGAAATGTCCGAGGAGCTATCAAGTGCAGGCTATTCCCGACGACCCTAAGGAAAGGTGCCATGACATGGTACAAAAGTCTGGAGCCCGAATCGATTACGTCGTGGAGGGTTCTGAAAGACCTGTTTTCAAAACACTTCACAGCGTCCCGACGCCACCCGAAGACGGAAGCCGTCCTCGGTGCGATAATCCAAGCCCCCGACGAGCCTCTCTGAAAGTACATCGAAAGATTCACCGGGAAGCGGTGGAGGTAACGACGTCATACGAGATGAAGCGTTACCTAATGGAGCAGGGTCTACGCCACGACTCCAAGTTCTACGAGGCCGTGGGCATACACCGGCCAACCTCCCTGCAGGATTTCCTCGACAGACTGGTTCGAGGAAACTCAAGCAGCCAACTCCGCACGAGACACCCGAGACAGAGAGACCCCCCGTAGGCACCGAGATGAAGGAGCCTCGAGCCAGCGGCGGGGAGGTGACCATCGTAGGGAAGATCGCCCCCGCGAACAACGCGAGAAACGTGGTCCCGCCGACCGATTCATGGAATACACGGCCTTAGTCGCTTCCCGCGAGCGCATATTGGCCGAGTGCGCCAAAACCGAATTTGCCCAAGGAGGTGTCCGCTTCCCCCGGCCGACGCCCCCCAAACCCAATGTGGACAAATTGAAATACTGCCGATTCCACAGGAGCCACGGGCACGTGACCGAAGACTGCATCCATCTCAAGGACGCGATCGAAATCCTGATTAAAGACGGCCACCTAAAGAGATACACCAGGGGGGTGAGGCCCCGAGGCCAAGAAAGTCGAAGAGCTCCCCTCTTCTGACGATGACAACAGACTCCAGGTTGCGCTGTGTGTTAGCTGCCCCGAGGACTGGTTCGCGGATAGAGAGTTCGGCCTCCCCGAAGGCCCCGACCTACCCAGCGAGCCGGTACGGCCAACCAGCCGGTGGGAATACTTTCCCAGAGCCATGGTCATCTCGGGTGGCGCCACAAGGAGCCAGTCCATAGGATCGGTGAAAAGAAAGTTCGATGAACTTATCACGAGCAACTCCGGAAAAATGAGCACGCTCGTCGACGGAGGCAGCTCGGTGGACATCATGTACACCCACCTGTTCACGACCCTCCAACTCGACGAATCCAACCTGTCCCCCTACGTAGGCTCCGACCTTCAGGGGTCCAACGGGACGACGACGAGACTTTGGGGGTACGTGGAGCTGAAAGTCACTTTCGGGGAAGAGGAAACGGCCAGGGAGGTCAGCATCCGTTTCTTAGTCATCGAGTGCCCGTCCCTCTACAACTGTATCCTGGGCAAAACGACGATAGCAGAACTCACTGCGGTGCCTTCCACCGTCCACCTGAAGATGAAGTACTACACGAAACGGGGGGCCGTGGTGACCCTTAACGGAGACATCGAGACAAAGAAGGAGACCCCAATCGTGGCGCCGAAGAGCGAACCAAAGGAGCTGGTCGGATCCGTGGACCTCGACAGCCGCTTCACCGAAGAGCGTGATCATGAAATAAGGACCAGTGAAGCCAACGAGAAGCCCACCCACCCGGCCCTCCCCATCCCGGACGGTGAATTCGAGATCGTCACACTCGGGGAGGACAAGAGCAGAACCGTGAAGATCGGCGCCGGACTCCCAGACTTAGCGAAAAAACAGCTACATGCCTGCCTCCGCGAGAACGCCGACCTCTTCGCATGGAGCGCCGCAGAAATGCCCGAACTCGACCCCGAGGTCGCCTGCCATCAGCTGTCCATCAGCTCGACCGCAA